GGACGGATGCATCGTTGCCATGAAGAGCAGCAACAAGAGTAAGTTTTGTAATCCAAGACGTTGATCCCACACTAACAGCTACAGCTCAACTCATCGTCCCATACCTTGACTCCATCTTCGACCTTCTCCGCACTATCCAAGCAGACAGCAACCGCACTGAGGCTCTCCTCCGATCTTCGTGTGGTGTTATCGGGTATGTACAGGCGTCCCTCGTTCAATATATCCTACTAACACTATTTAGTGACCTCGCGGATGCGTTCCCAGCTGGTGACTTCCGGGAGTACTTCCGTCACGAGTTCCTCACCGCGATGGCGAGGGAGACACGCGCAAACCAAGATTTCAGCGGCCGGACTCGAGACACTGCTCGATGGGCACGTGAACAGATCAAGCGTCAAGTCGGTACGTCGCTCGGCTACAACCCCTACCTCCGCCCCGCTCCTCTCTAGTGAAATCGACATCCCCACCTTATATGTACTCCAGCCCACTGACTTCCCCTTCCCAGGCGGCAACCAAGGCGTAATGGCTTGATTGTCTTGATACCCCTTCCCTCCCCCAGCACTGCTTGAATCTTGTGTTGGCCAAGATGTTGGATAACCTCTCTGGAGGTACCGTCTAGCATGTGGCTAAAACATAGGTTCTAGCTCCCCCTCGCGTATCCCAGCACCTCGAAGCACAGTACGGAGCCCATCCGTTCGAAGAATGTCGTCGCGCACGGAACTTCGCTCCCCCTGGGTCATCGGTTTACGTCCCTCGCACTTACCCGGAAATCCTTGATAGAGCAGCGTCGTCGCATGCGTCCCAATTCGGAGGAGGAGGCGGAGTCGTTTCGTCGTACAACGATGGTGTCCATAGATTTGGACATTGGGAATTGGTCAATGGTGTCTCAACCTATCGTCCACCCGCGGAAAAGACTCCAGGTGGCTGCGGTCATCCCGAATTTGCCTAAAGTCGACACGAAACGTATTCAGCACCCCGATCCCGCGACTCCCGACCCCAGCACCAATGCGCATCCCCCCGTCGAACCCGAATCGCACAGCACCCTCTCCAACCCAATCATGTAGCACCAAAAGTCTTGTAAGGCAAAGCAAAAGCTGTTATAGCTTTTCTTCTCGCCAAGGAGAATAATAGATTCATTCCCATCCACCCTTTTTTGTACACTCACTTCTTCTTCCTCCTTCGGGGCCTTCGGGGCTTCAACTTCCCAATCATAACATTGGAACTAGGCGTTTATACCACTTTGACTACTTTGATTTCTGAAGTGGTATGTTCTGTGGAATGGGTATATTTGCTGGCCGGTGGTTTATAGTTGTAATGATTACTGCGTAGACTTGATGCTGATGTCTTTCCTGTGATGGACTGTTGATGACGTGGTTATGTGTGCTGTATCCTGTCTTGCTGTCAATACAACACCAGTGTCAAGACCAAGTGTTGAGAATCAAGACTTATCCACAGGACGCTACATCACAACGTAACGGTCGTCCTCTCTTCCCTTATCCTATCATTTCACTGTCGCTTACCATTCTACGTACACCTAAGCTAACAAACTTTTGCAAAAGTATACGTCTGCTCGCAAGCATACGAAGCACTCGCCACCGCTACTAGTACTGCGTATCTACGCACGCACTCCTCTGTACGCCTCCCTCTCCTCACTACAAGGTTCACGAGCACCAGCAAAAAAGATGGTTCGAATGCCAAAAACGTACAACAGCGGGGATTTGCTAGTAGTTACCTACCTAACTACTAATCTGCTAGTACACTACTTATATATAGCCAAGTAGACAGGAAGCCTACCTTTCTCTTAACCATTACAAAGTTTCTTAACGTAGGTGCATGCTTCGCGGTCCAGCATGCTTCGCGGTCCACCTGTGCTAAGACCCTACTAAAACCTCCCCCTGTTATAGCCTATTACAACCTACTTTAGCATAATATAGCATAAAAGATACTAAAATAAAATTAAGAGGCTACCTCTACTTTATAATTATATATTTGCGCGTTATACTCTATGTTATTACAGCGTCTACAGCGTCTTTAGAACAGTTTACTCTCTTTAACACGCGCTAGCCTTTTTGCTCTTCTTCTATTATTACGCGCTCTAAACTCTTATAAAGCTATCCTGCGCTAGCTATTCTCTACTACTATAGACTCTTCTACTCTAACCTGCTTGCTTTTATGCAATTTGCGCTGCGTAGTAGCCTTATTAGCTGCCTAAAGCTTAGTAATCTTCTTTTAGGCTAACACTAGCTTATATATAATTATTACTACGCTCTTTAAGACCTTCTTAAAGGCCTCTACTATAGAAGTTAGAGAGCTATCTATATATCTCTAAATCCTTTGCTTTACTAGCATTAATTACAACTCTATTTTAAGAGTATTGCTAGAGGTTTGCGATAGCTAAGGCAAGTTGCTAATAAGTAGTAGTAAAGAGGTGCGCAACTATACGTTAAGGCCTATTATAACCCTCTCTAGGTTAAATAGAACTAATCTAGCGCCTTAAAACTCTTCTTAGATATTACTAAGAGTAATTGCAGCGTTAAAGGCGCGCTTAAAGTATAGTAGAAACTTAAGTTTTATAATATAGCTAATTTAGTTACGTATTAGCTTCTTAGCTTAGTAGCTATACGCCTTCTTTAATAGCCTAAAATAATCTATATTAAGTAGCTATAGTAGGTAAGATAAGTGTAGAGGCATATAGAGAGTAATAATCTTCTTCTCTTTGCAGTATTACTTAAACTAAAGAGTATTATAGCTCTTATATTTGTTAATAATAAGTAGCTAGTGCTATTTTATAGTACGCTTCTCTATATAGGCATTAAAGTGCTCTAACTACTAGAAACTAATCTTATTTATAGTCTAACTATTCTTAGAGACTAAGATTAACTAATTTTAAGGTATAGCGTTCTTTTTATACTAGGTAAAGAGGTAATATTACCTTTTAAAGATAATATAGAGTAGAATAGTCTATTCTATTACATTAATATTCTAAATAACTATAGTCTACTTGTAATTGCCTAGCTAGATAGACTTTAGTTATTCTCGCTTCTCTAAAGCTATAACTATAGCTCTAGTTAATATTATGCCTATTATAAAGCTAGTCTTATTAAAGTTATAAGTATTCTTATTCTAGATGCTATACTTAGCTTTTATATTAGCTACTAGCTAGAACTAGGCTTAGATAGCTATAGAGTCTTTGCAGAGAGCTCTCTTATAGTTGTATTTGCGATTAAACTTTACTTAGAGCTCTAGTTAGCGCTTAACAAATATACTAGGCTATCTTAGGCTAACCTAGGCTAGATTGCGCTTAGCGCGTAAGGAATTAGCTATATTAGCTATATCTATAAGGCGAGAGGGGAATTCTCGCTTAACTAAGTTAAGTATATACTAAACAATTACTCTCTTCTTAGTCTTATGCAAACTTATTATTATTAGCCTGCAATCTACCTATAAGAGTTATCTAGCGCGTTAATAGCGTAGAGTTATATAAGAGACGTTATAGGTAGCTGTAGCGCGTCGCAATAAGAGAGTTACGTCTTATTTAATAGCCTAAAGCGTAGTCTATATTCTAGCTTCCTTTAGTAGTTCTATCTAGTGTAGTTAATTAGGCATTATAGGGTAGAGGTAGTTTTAGTAGGGTCTTAGCACAGGTAGACCGCGAAGCATGCTAGACCGCGAAGCATGCACCTACGTTAATTCTTTTGTATTTAGTAAGCCTCCTCTCTGTATACGGACTATTAGCACACAGTCCTGTGTTGGTGGCTTCCTCCGCCATGCACTAGCGCGTAGGCGCTACTAATAAAGCAGCTGTCCAGCGCTTACGTACGATCCTCTGAATGGACGCCACAAGCATGGGGCACTCCACCTGCCATCTCCTGGTTTTTGCGCTCGAGCCTTCCTATCATGATTAAGTACATCGGCGCCTCGCTGTAGGACACGATAGTAATACTAATCGGTAAACGCGAGCTCGAGTTACAGAAATGGATGAACCGTCAGTGGTGGTGGTTAAGGCGCAGTGTTAGTAAGGATTTTGTTTCTTGAACTCGGAGTTTGTATAGGCACACTCCAGCAGATCCAGCATGCTTGACACCGAATCTTAGCCTATCAGCCATCTATTAGAGAAATTATGTTCTACTAGAAGTCCATCTTGTAGAACGGGAACGAGTAGGAGAACCATGTGTTCTGTGTATAGTTGTTCAAATTCGCCGGTACGCTGCTTGTATATGACTGAATGGACGAGAAGCTCAACCAGACCACCATTCTATTCCCACCATTCTAAGTCGATTACTTCATATGTGGCCCTCCCCCAGACATCGAGATTTGCAAGATTAGGATCGATCGCGTCATCCAGCAGCGTCATCGGAAAGCGACCGAAGCTGTGGCAGGCACAGTGAGCTTTCAATAAACTGTACTCAGCATATCCCACCACAAGGTCTTCATCTTGCTCTAGCTGCTCTCGTAGAGTCTCCATCGAAAAATACCGCGACGTCCAGGCAAGTCCGTCGTTAAGACGTCGATACGACAGATATTCCGCTTGAACCGAACACCATAATGTACCGAGATCTTTCCTCCCATAAAAGCAGAGCGGAACGTCGGTTCCATAGCAATGTTCGTCTAGCAAAGTGTGATCAGGCTCAGTGGATCCCATAAAATGGGCATCATCATCACTCGACTCTGAGTCGTCGTCTCTGTTGCCGACCTGCTCGACATGCGCTGTCTCACAACGACGTAGTACGCCGGCCAGTGCAGTCCATCCTGTCCTGAGCTCGGCATTCCAAGTCTCGAATGCTGGTACAGATTGAATCTCCTCTGCAAGTCCTGCAGCCGTAAGCTCCTCGTGATCACACTCAATGATTGAGTCAAGTGATAACAACGCAGCGACTGAAACATCAGCTCGGACGGAAGGGTCAAAGCCGTGAAATATGAGGCAAAGAGCGCACGCTAGTATACCAAATAGATCTTCACCGTTCTTTCCCTGGGTAGCAAGATGGTACGCCGTCATTACCAGACTATGCAAAGGTTGCAGTTGCAACTTTTTGCCACAGTCAGTACCGAAGCAGCGTCGGATGTATAATCCACTTGGTGTTTCTAGTAGCAGACGGTGTGGCATACGCCGGAACATCCGGTTAATACAGTGACATATTGCCTGGATTGATGTATTGCAGAACTTGTGTTTCCAGCTAGACGGTATCGATGGACAGCCATGGGCATGAAGCTGGCGTACGCAAGGGGAGTCTGCATCCCAACGGCCACAAATATCGACTTCTTCTCCGATGAAACGTGAGACGTCTTTGAGATTATCGTCTACAACAACAGGTTTTGCGCTTGTGTGAGACTTGATGATCGTGATCATCAGGTTGTCAAGTATGGTGTGACCATGCTCATCCAGGTACATCTCAGAGACATGGCCTGGATCGACAAACTGCGAGACCACAACGAACACATCGCAACAAGATTTAGACCCATCGAGGAAACTCGTTGCTAGATGAAATGGATGCGCTAATGCTGGATCGATGTGTTTGGCCTGTAACTGCAGGAAGACTCGCACAATCTGATCGAGATTTCGACTCATGATGCTGAAACCAAGAGACTCGACGAGCAACTCGCTCGAACGTTCCTCGTCTGCAGCTTTGGCAATCTGTGGAATCGCTACAGGGAGATCTGCGGCAGGGGTAGGGCTGAAGTCATTGTGTTCAAGCGCATTTCGCAGGTGCGCCTGCAATGAAGCTTGCTGCTCACTTGGAGACCATGATGCCCAGGTGGTATCGTCATCAGGGTCGGGCTGAGGAAAGGCTTGGGGTTCAGATACGTCTTCCGGTATCGGCTCATATCGCTGCTCATGCACATGAACGTACCATCGACAAAGATCCGAAGGTGGCGTTGGCTCATCGTCGCTATGTGGTGTGGAGCCGTGTGTCAAATCCTGGGGCGTTCCTGGAAGACTAGAACGGCCTGTGGAAAGATACTGTTCGAAGTTCAAAAGCTCCGCCGTCCATATCCTTGGTCCTTTACCCCAGTGTTTGGCGGTCTTGAAGCAAAAGAACCAATACTGGTACAGCCAGTCGGACAAGGCCCTACTATATTGTCAACTAAAGAAATATAGCACGGCTTCGGTCTTACCTTCTCTCTTCTCCATTCAGGGCCTTCAAAAGCTTCTCATGGTGACCTTGTGCAAACATGCCGGCTCTTTCAACCATCGTGAGCTTTTTCGTGAGCTGGATCGTCGGTGAAGGTGCATCGTTTGGGGACGCGGCCGATGAGGGGGTGGTAACTTCGATGTTGCTATGGGGCGTTGGTTGATCGAAGGGCGACGAATGATCGAAAGGTCGTACGTATGAGTGACGTATGGCAGCGTAGGGTAGGTTCCATTTGAGGAAGCTTTGACGTTAGTACACGAGCATACAATCCGAACGTTGACTACTTACAAACTGTTGGTGAATGGCAGCACGTGTCCGTCTACGGTCGTGATTTGGTTGCGATTAAGGGAGATTAATCTTTCGGTTTCTCGCATTTCTTCTTTCATCACCCGTCTGACCTTCTGACGATCAACTTGCTTCCCATCGATAGCGACTCGTGTGGAGAACTTGCCGACTGCAGCACGGCCTTTGTAATGCTTCACAGCTTTGATGATCTCACTCTTGCGAACATTCTTTGACCACCCCCATTTTCCAAACTGGGTTTTGTATTGGCGCTCGCTATATGTTAGACCTGTCAGCTCGTAGGTCCTCTCGCCAAAGACAGAAAGGGATATGCCTGACGCACACTCGATGGAAGCTGTGCTTGTTCCTCATTTCCTCAACAATGTCATTGAGCTTCCAACCTTCTGTCAGCCAGAGGGACTCTAGGGTCGGTTTTACATTCTCCCAAGGATCCGCGGATCCTGACGCGGCTGAACTCATCAAGGACAAGCACACGTGGATGTGACAGTCAAGCCGGGCGCAAAGAAGAAGAAGAATGTAGATATTGTAAGGACCGCTGCTTGATCGGAAGGAGAGAGGCTGTCGAAATCTCGAACTTGCTGTATTGCGGCAGGCTGGCTTATCCCCTTCTTATGGCGTTCTGGTACCCTGTCTGGAATTTCTGACACGTGCCACAGCCAAGACGAACAAAAGTTCGACAGCCAACGGGATGACGTTCCCTGACGCACATTTGTTCTGGCGCTGCACAGGCTAAAGGTGTGCCGACGCCTTGTTTGCCTGCAAGAGTCCTCCATTCTGAAACCAACACCGATCGGCGTGCCAAGTCGAGCAAAGGTTCACTGGCCAATGGCCGTGATGCGGGCGTGACCGGCGCTTGAGCGGCGACGCGTAGAACGCCTAGCGAAGCAACACGACGTTAGCCATTGCGCTGTGGCACACTGCCCATCAGTGCCTGCTCTCAGCATCTCGAGGCTCTCTGTTACTAATTCCGTTACCATTGTCCAGCCATGAATGCCGCGAGCGAAAGAGTAGGAAGCACCGCTTTCCCTCGCCAGACGAGCGGCGGCCCTCACCACCTATCTCAAGTACATCCTTTCCATACTTCCGATAAGATAATAAGAGATGCTCTCACTAAGGTGGATCTAAATCGATGAGGGTGGAGCTTGTGAAAGCTTAGTATCGACCCCGGACGTTACATCCATGCGCACCATCCAAAAGCCAAGGTAAACAAAAGTTCTCTGTCCAATATAAAGACTCGGATTTTGTGGCTTTCCTGCAAGGGTGGCCTACCAAGATGAACCAAAGTCGGCAGACCAATGTGCTGCGATTAAAATCAGGCTCTTACCGTATTCAGACAGCGGGATCATAACGCGAGACACCCGCCAACCTGACAAGAGCATGTTAACACATATTGACCCATGTTACTCTAAATGCATCACGCATACTCGGGCCTTCACCAAGACTTGCTCCAGGACTGAGAGGCTGACCTGTCCTTGATGCGCACTTCCCTCCCCCCTCAAGATGTATAAAGATGTCTACTCCTTGTGCCTCTTCGTTTCCAGACATCCCATCATCTCTTATCCATTCAAGCCTTTGCCTCTTTCGCCGCCAGCGTCACAATCCAAATCTCTCCATACACCATGGCTCAGCAAGCTACTTCGTCGTTAGTACACCTTCATCATTGACAACCCCATTGTCTTCTCTTACTGACCAACGCATAGTGGTACAGTCAATCTACCTCAGCAGAGGTCAACCGATACCGTCGCACTCTGCCCCTACCATATCAGCCTCTTATCTTCAGCCTCCAACACGTACACAAACAACATGAATTCGATGGACCGCTTCTTGGCCGAAAGGTCTGCAGAACAAAGTGCCATGTTCATTCGTTACGACAACGGCGAGCCATCGACGAAGAGGAAGTGCACATGCGAAAGGGCACATAAGGCGAAGATGTGAGGATCGGATACTAGTTGTTACTTAGTTGTACAAGCATAGTATAGACTTGCCCTTTGCTACTAGGGACCATCTTCAAGAACAGGCAAAAGGGTTATGTATATGCCTGAGAGGTAGAATATAGGTAGATAGATGGCGAGGTATAAGGGTGGAGTAATGGGGTGAGGTTAGGTGAGAACAGATAGGAGAAGGCATATATCTTAGAGTAATTGACAAACTTGTTCAACATCGCGGTCGTGTGTTCTAAGCTAGCTAATCGTTCCTAGTCCTATTGCAGTATCGTTCCCACCTCTCCTGATCTCGCTTTAACATAGACTTCCTACAGTTCTCACGATCAAAGTTATCCGGCCACCCATAGATCAGCATCAGCGACTGCAGTTCCTGAAGAGATTATGGTAAGTCGATCTGGTATCCATCTCAAAAGGCGGAAGTCTATCCGGACCTTGTAACCTTCGCAATCCTTGCCAGTGGTTTCGTCGTGCAATGGTCCCCTACCATTGGTCTGACCAATCAAACGCAGCTGCGCATAATCGACCTTCCACTCGTTGAGTATATCGCTGAGACGCGCAGTGCTTCCAGGGTGAACATCAGGTTACGAGAAGGAGTAAGAGGTTAGCTAGTAAGTCTACGCTCGCTTCCTCGGTTTCTAGATAGCTTCGGCAGCTAAGCATGTTTAGATTAGTATAGAGCGATATTGTAGGTACACAGGGCGGGACTCAACGTTAGCTACTAAAACAAGAACTTGTTTATAGAGATTGTATACAAATGATACATATACACTGCGCTCAACTCCCCAAAGTTCCGATGCAGACAGCCATGATACCCTACAAGACATATCTGAAATACATATTTTCGCCATCCGTCAAATCCATAAACGCCATCTTATCCCTTTCTTCCTCGTCCACGCTCATCGTCTCTCTCCTCTTGTTCTCCCTCTTCAGTACGGCGTATAGCGCTACCGCAGACGCTATCGTGATACAATAACAGATCATCAGACCTGTCCACAACCTAGGATAATGTGCACCCTTCTCCTGACTCCTGATCAGCAGTGGACCGACGATGTTGCCAACGCAGTATGCTACGAACACCGTGCCAGCCATGGCGCTCTTCTTCGTCGCACCACTGACATTGGACATGGCTATGACGATCGTCTGGCTGACTACCGCGCCAAAAGTGCCGATAATAGAGTAGCCAGCGACTGGGGTGGGTGCGTGGTATGTCCACTCCGACTTCCAGATCATCGCGCAGCCGGCGATGACGGGGAGGCAGTTTACGATGAGGAGAATGATTCGTATGTTGGGTAGACGCGAGGAGAGATAGCCGCAGAGGAGGATCGTAACGAGGCAGATAAGTCCAAGAGGAAATTGCCAAAGAATGGATGCCAGGGGCGACCAGCCGAATGTGTTCACGATGAGTGGGCCGAATCCAGAGACTGCGCCGTTGACCGTATATGCGCTACCCATGAGCAGGAATACGAGGTAGAATTTAGCGTCCGTGACACATTCCCTGAGCTGATACATCTTGATTTTCTGGCACCGCACACCCGTCGCGCCCTTCCTCAGTCGCTCAACAGCAACGACACGCTCGCTTTTCGTCAAGAACCAGGCTTCGGCGCATGAATTTGGGATGAAGAAGCAGAAACATCCAAAGAGGAAGGTTAGACAACCCGCGAGCAGGTATATGTACTGCCACCTCCTCAGCGCGCCTGACGTAATTTGCGCGAAGCCGTAGTTCAGCGCGCCGCCGATGATGGTGAAAAGACCTGTGGAACTGAACCACCAAGACTGACGCACGGATTGCTCGCGCTGCGTGTAGTAGCTGCTTACTATCGTCATGAAACCTGTCGGGATGATACTTTCCACGAATCCCAAAAAGAAGCGCTGGACATACAATCCCCTGTAGTCTGTAACAGCGGCTGTCAACATGCATATTAGACTCCAAAGTAGCACGACTGCGCCAAGGATGCGGCCTAGGTTGAAGCGTTGGAGAGCGAAGGTGAGGGGGTAGAGGCCTGCTAGCATCCCGAAGTAGAACAATGAAGTCGCCCATGAGAGACGTGTCGTGGAGATTACCGCTGGGGAAGTCGGTGTAGCGGGAGAGAGGATTTGGGTGAGATGTAGGTCGGTTGTCATGCCGAAGAGGGCGGCGGAACCGAGGATGGCTTTGTCGTAGTACACTAGACCGTAGCCTGAGCTTCGATGTTAGATGGAAATCATGCGGTAGTCATGATGGCGAGAGATGGATGGTATGGACGAGGTTGGTGGGATTGACGTACCCACGATCATGGCGGGGATGAGGAACCAATCGATCTTTCGGAGAACTCTTGCTTCAATTGCTGGGTCAATGTCTTGAGCGTGCTCGCCGACGAGATTGATTGCTATGTCTTTGTCGGTTGCCGTTGGGTCCAAGGCTGTTTCGGCGTCATGGGGAGATAAGGCCGTCGCCTTCTCATCCGGTCGGGTGGCCGCCATGTTGGAAGACATGTCGCGAATGAGATCGCGCGATCAAGAACAGGAGATGAGAGACAGGCAGACAGGACTGTAGTTAATGATTAGACATCGCTTGACTCTACACGCACGGCTTGGATATCCACGGGATGCCACATAAACTCTAGCGCAACACCAGTCCGGCATGCCAAACGTCCGCAAGCTGCAAGCGAAGCCGGCGGCCAATCCAGGACCCTGGGCACTCCATCTGCGCACGATGATGATTGGCGGGTGCTGAACATGCCGCGTGAACTGGCAGAAGTTGGGATGAATTGCGCGGGTTGACAGTGAACGCTAGTACCCTACAGGCTTAGTGCTACGATGACATAATCGTGAAAAACTTTCCCTTGCTCACGCCGCGCTTTCTCCCGCCTACTCTGCCCAACCACAACTGGTGCCACCATCACCACGCGCGTGTGAAGTTTGTGTGCTCATGTCGTACACACCCTCTCACAGGTACACCACCAACGCTGCCCTCACCAACTCGTGAAGCGAGACGCGCTGTCGACGCGAAGCTTCGGGAGCCAAACGTGCGCGCTTTTTGTAGAACGGTCTCTTGCCTCGCTCAATCCGCTGTTCCATCAGCAGATTTCGAGCTGGATGCACACTACACTTTCTCTTTTCTTTCTTCGAGGAAAAGAGGTTGTGTGTATGAGACGAGAGTAACTGCGACGATCTTTGAGTACGGAACCGCCTGAAACCATGTGTCGGACCTCTGTAATTTATCTGTCGGGACATATTTTGCGTTATGGGTGCTTTGCTTGACAAGATGAGAATGTGAAACGTGGGATAAACCTATAGACAATTCTTGTCATTGGGGCCAAATGCTACTGAGAGAGTGGTCCGTATTAGAACGAATTGAGATTTGTCTTCGGAGCTACACTAAACGGAACTCCCTGACTTCGCGATGCGTACCACGATAATTATTATGTTCTCCCAGTTGCTGGACAATTTCTCGGCAAGCTCCGACGACTAAGAATTCCTCTTGGCCAGATGCGATAGCAGGGCGGAGTAGCCACGGACATACGTCTCCATCCATCAAGGCTACTACATCTCCTGTTTGCGGTCTATCGTCGTCTCTTACCAGGGCAGAAATGATCCCTTGCGAAGTGACTGTCCACGAAAGCTCCGCAATTTCCCTGGATAAGATAATCTTTATGTCGCTTGACAAGGTCCTGCTTTGATCGTACACGAGTAACGAGGAATACAGGCAGTCGTCATATATCTCTTCGATCTGGCTCTTTGTCATGTCCATTAGTGTCCACCTAGATATCTTCTCGAGAATCCGCGACACAACATCTTCTTTGTCCAGAGATTGTTTTGCGCAGGCGCTCTCAATGAATTTGTCGAAATGATCGATGATATCGTGGACCTGGAGTTCACAGGCAGTATCGTAATAGCGCCCGTGTACGAGCACCACTTCGCCTAGATGGACACCTGGTGTTACCAAGACCCGACCGTCTTCCATGATCTTGATCTTTCCACGTTTACGATAGAAATCATTGAACAAAACCGGTCGAGGCGATCGAAAATCTGGAACCCAACTGGGTACTCCTTCAAGCTTGTTTGTGATGCGAGGAATGATGGAAAGAACGCTTGTGTGTTTCAATATGGCCATACTATACGTGTGAAAGAGCTCAGCAAAGGGAAGTGTGTAGTCCGGCACCAGCGCATCAGGGCATCTCAGGTTACCACCAATGGAAAGTACGCCGTAGATGTAATCATGGGGAAGTGTTGCTTTGAGTGTTACCATCATACTCGAAAACGCCGCCTCCAATATAACGGCAAAAATCCGTGTCCTGAGAGTTTCTTCTGCATGCAAGGGACTCCAGTTTGGCTCTTGTAGCACGTTGGTCCAGTATTCAGGGATTTACTCTTCATGTTCAAGCGATGGGGAAATGACACTCTCGTTTTCGTCTACATCTTGCGTTGACACAGAAGGCACATCTGCATCTTGTGTCAGAATAGAAGAGCCGTCTGAATCGATATCATGCCAGTGGAAGATATGCCGGATCTTTTCGCGGACTTTGTCATGGATATAGAGGTAACTTGACAGTCGAGTCATGGTCTCTCTATCCACATCGGCCAGTTGTCGATCTCGAACAACTTTGTTGACATAAAGACAGGTACACGAAAACTCTTTAAAGTCGCACCAATGGGAACCCGCTAAGAGGACAACATGTTGTGCCCTCACAATTTCTTGTACAACCCATAATCTTTCGAACCATGCCCGTCTCGAGATATCTTGTGCAGCGTGAAAGATGTCCAAGAGCTCGATGTTGCTGAACTGAGAGATTCTGAGCATGCAACGATTGACCTCATCATCCCAGCCCTCATCATCTTCGGATTCTAGTTCGTCATCATCGTCTCCGGATTCCAGTTCGTCATCATCTTCGGATTCCGATTCGTCATATGTATCCATTTCATGAACTAAACGCATGAGTTCCTGGATGCCGCCGTCTGCTTCGTTCTCTCCTAGCCAGGCTAAGACAAGCTCTGCAGCGCCATAGATCGCTCCCATCCGTGGTACCTGGGCCGACTTTTCTGCCTCATCTGCCTGATTGATACACAGCGCGTCAATCCAGAATATGCTGCTGCTCTTCAGCAAAGCTCTCAGTCGTCGCAGACAAGCGATAAGATTGACGGTTTTTTGTACAGGTTGGCCATCGAGAAGTAGCTCTTCCGTGCGGGTTGGATCGCCCCATGCATACGACAATGCAACAAAAGGTGATATTCTGGACGTGGGTGCTGCCGCAGCAGAATCATTGTCTTGATCTTCTTCTTCTGCTGGTGATGACCGACCTAAGGACCGTGGGTCATATAACTCTTGATTCAGCAATCTCGGCAGCGGTTTACCCGAAAACCATGCCTCTACCAGATCGACTTCAGTGTTAGGCAGCGGTAGATATAACATATCGCATTGAATGGGATCCGTCCAGGCACCAGGCTGAATCCTCACAAAGCGAATTTCGTCGCCTTCGAGCGGTCGGTAAATATCCTCCATGCGGTAGCTGTGAGATTCGTCGTTGAAGGAGGCGTTGCTGTGTGATGAGTTGCAGGAGTGTAAGACGATGATAAAAGAAGGTTGCTCATAGCCACAAGGCTATGGCAGAGTTCTGGGCGTTCATGTTTCTCAGCTTTGGGGGCGGTGCCACGCGAGATGCAGTCAGCGCGCCGTCGCCCAATGGTATGCACCTGCTGCCGCAATCAATCGACCTTATACAAGGGAAAAAGTAAACGCCTAGAGCCTACGTTAACGTCAGCCCACCTACTTTGCGTGTTTTTATCTCAATGTAGGCTCTTGGGTGTTTGGTTTTGCCCTTGTATAAGGTGGATTGGCTACGCAGCCGTGCGTTTCTCCGAAGGTTTAACAGCCCCCTCAAACGTTGGATTACTGGAGGAAAGATACAAAGGAAGGCGCCGCGGGACACAGCCGGAAGAATGGACCCTGGAGCACCGTGCATGCCGCCAAATCTAGCGCCTTGGCGACATGCGGGAACTCTCATGTCTGGACCCTCGAAGGTGGTAGATACCTTCATACTTTGCACAACAGATACTTTCAACACCGCTCCTATGAGAAACAATGGATCGCAAATGCAGTTCTAAATGATACTCCTTTTTCGAAGACGCCTCTGATACCATGCACACTCTCAAGGACCCTGGAGAACCTTGGAAGAAGAAGTCACATAAACACAACAACTACACTCCACAGCTTGGAAGGATGGCGACTAGATCACAGCACTGCAGATGATTACTCTGAACGCCCCACTGCGGCTTACGGCACGCTGCGAAGGATTCTCGCGCCTGGCCTAAGACGTGCTGGGAGACGGCAATAACAGCCCGGGTAAGTAGTGATACCAGGGTATGCTCTTGGTTGGTACGGTTCCAAGCGTCAATGCAGTTCTTATGCATCTTGAATGTTCTCGATCCAACATAAAAGTTTCTTCACGTCACTCTCAATCCGACACCAGATATGAAGCTCTCCAAATTTCTGATAGCGGCCTTAGCCAGTACCGCCAGCGCAACGAACAAAGACAAGCCTAATGAGGTAGACGCCCTAGCTGCCGAAAGTCTACATCGAATGCAGGCCTACTACTCAGAGAACCCATTACCGAACCCAGGAACATGCACACTGGATAACGTAGCCGTTCGTCGAGACTGGTGAGCCAGATGAATACCTACCATCCCATTCCGCTCCAACTCACACACTGCAGGTCAGCCTTGAGTAAACACGAAAGGCGCAGCTACATCAAAGCCGTAAAATGCCTAGCGAAACTGCCAGCAAAGACACCCGCAGCCATCGCCTCAGGAGCAAAAAGCCGATACGATGACCTTGTGGTTACCCACATCCTGCAAGCGTTTACAATTCATGGCACGGCCAACTTTTTAACTTGGCACCGCTACTATACGTGGGCTTTCGAGCAGATGCTGAGGAATGAATGCGGGTACAAAGGGTATCAGCCTTACTACAATTGGTACGTACCTGTCTCGTAGAACCCGCGAGACCCATACTGACATCTATGCCAACCATCAGGGGCCACTGGGCAGACAACCCAAAAGCCTCACCCTTCTTCGACGGCAGCGACACCAGCATGTCAGGAGACGGCGCATACATCGCAAACAGAACTTCAGTCTGTTTCCCATCAACCGAACAGTGCTACATCCAGCTTCAACCCGGAAGTGGAGGCGGTTGCGTAACATCTGGTCCATTCAAAGAGTAACTATCACCCCACCGATCTCTCTTCACTCCAACAACGCCCATTACTAACACCCCCATCCAGCTGGAAGATCAACCTCGGCCCCCTCGCCGCCGTCTCCCTCCCCCCACCCACCCCCAACCCCCAGCCCGACGGCCTGGGCTACAACCCACGCTGCCTCTCCCGCGACATCTCCCTCCAATCCTCTGCCGAAACCCGGGACTCCGTCGTCGCCGCCCTAATCAAAGACAACACCACCATCACATCCTTCCAAACCGTGCTCGGCGGCGAATTCGCCCAAGGCAAAATGGGTCCTCACGTTGGCGGCCACAACACCATCGGCGGTGACGCAGGTTCCGACTTCATCAATTCGCCTGCGGATCCTGCGTTCTTTGCGCATCATGCTATGGTTGATCGTGTGTATTGGACGTGGCAGAATATGGATTTGGAGGCGAGGAAGGAGGCGATTGCGGGTGGGACGAGTGGGGTGGGGGATCCAGGGGAGGCAGGGACGTTGGAGGATGTTATTACGCTGGGGGCGTACGTTGGGGTTGGGAATGTGACGATTAGGGAGGCGATGAGTACGGTTGGGGGGCCGTTCTGCTATGTTTATGCTTAGGTTTGGAGTATTGTACTAGTGTGACTTTGCTAGATGAAAGTCTAATGGATGAGGCTAGGTCTTGTTCCCAAGATGAGAAAAGTTGCAACACCCGGCCGAAATACAGCGCCTCAATAGTCCCCTCGAGGTCCAAATCACCATACCAATCTTGTCTTGACCTTCCCCCCTTCAATCCCATCCTCTCACCACCCCCCGTCCCAAGGAACCACAACCCCTCCCGCACTGCTCGCCTCAACATCACTCAACCCGTTAAACTCCCAACTAACATCCACGCCATGCATCTTCCTAAACCTTGTTCTGGCATCCTTAGTCACGGGATCAACCTCCAGCTCATCCGGAAAAGTCTCAAGTAGCCTCTTGACGAATCTCTTGCCCGGTCGTACTATAGTCACAATTTTGATCTCCGTGTTGGGCGGCGGTGGAAGGGTCTCACATTGCGTTGTTTTGGGGAAAGACTTGCTGTCGCTGGGGGGGCGGGAGGGGTTACCGGACGTGGCGCTAGCACCAGTAGTTCGATCAGTGGGTCGTTCGGGTCCGACTTGTCGTAATTCGCGTAGTCGTGTGCCGAACGATTCGGTAGGGGTGATGGAAGTGGAGGATACGGGGGATAGCGCAGACGGAGTGGGTTTAGTGTGTAAGACGTCGTGGAGTTGGAGGCAGAGCGATGTGACGACTTTGAAGCGGTTGGAGCGGATCATGCCGGAGTAGAGCTTGTTGGGGTCTGCGCCGTTCGTGGGGGTTGTGGGTGGTGGTGTTTGCTGAGCAGGTGGGTGTATGACTTGGACGGTGGGATTGTCCTGTTGGGCTTGGAGATGTTGTGCTAGCGGACTGGGGTTCGGCGGGTGGTTGTGCTGGCCGTGGGCGTGCGGTGCTGGCATCGCTTGTTGGTGCTGCTGTCCATGGCCGCCCATGCCTAACGCTCCTTGCATGAATTGCGGAAACGGCATAGCGGGAGCTGGCGGGGGCGGAGGCGGGACTTGGTTCGCGTTGGCAGGAGTATGCGCATGGCCGCCTGTGCCACCGACGATTTGCACGCCGGCGGTAGTCATGACTTGGTTTATGGCGTTCTGGACGTGTTGCTGTAGGGTGTGTATCTGATGTCCCACAGCATTCTGAACCGCCGGTAGGTGTCCCGCTGGTTGGGGTCCGAGCATTGGGCGTTGTATCCCAGCCAGTACGCCTGACATGAAGTGTGGGCACATTCCCAATTTGAGGAATACCCAGAGACTCTTCAACTTAGGCAGATCAGCTCTTAGGCTCCTCACTTCCTTCCCGCTTCCCATATATGCTGTCCATAATGGCAGGTCCTTGTCCTTTATGCGGATGTACACGCTCGTTATGTTTGCCGAGGCGGGAGACGTGACGACGCGGAAGATGTTGCAGTCGCTGGGATGTGTGAATAGAAACTTGTTCTGTGCGTACAAAACAATCACGGCTTCGTCGTGAACCTGTCTGTTCGTCCGGAGGAGGTTCACGCTGACATGGCGATGTTTGCTGTACGCCGATTGGGACACGGCACCGGGCCACAGGAACGGCGTGTTGGAAACCAGGGCATACGTGTAGACGCGATCGCGGAGCTCTCTCGGTAGAGACAAGAGGAGTGAGAAGCACGAATCGGGAAGAACTTCGTGGGTCGGCATCTGGGAGGCTGTAGGCGTGGGCAGTGCGGCGCTACGCGAATGCGAAGGGTTGCGGAGGCGCGCTGGGCGACTGGCTGATTGCGGCGGTGCGTCTATCATGGTGGTGTCGGAAGAGCTGCTGCTGTTGGAGGAGGAACGCGACCGCGAAGGTGTCGAAGTGCGCGAGGCCATCTCGTCCAACTTCGGATGGGCGCTTGCTGATAAATAGCCTGCTAGCCTGTTTGTGGGGCGGCGAAGCGATACGGCGGACGGTACGGGACGTTGGGCGTGATGGTAGTGGTACCGTGTTGCGCGCGATTGGCGAAGCGGGGCGGATGATTCAGCGTGCTATCGATGCCCAACAATGGCAGATGGGGGCAGGGAGGTCTTATAATCCTACGCGCCCTACGAGGCCGAGATTGAGGGGAAAGTGTTGAGCGGCTGTGACCTGTGCCTCATTCCTCCACTGCTGTGATCCCATCATCATCCAGCCGCTCACGCTATCGCCGAGGCTAGACCGGTGCCGATCAGCGTTTGCACTACCCAATAACCTGCACCATCATCCACTATAGCTATCCCAAGAACCGCATGTGCTCTTCCATCTATTTTGTCTTTCACATGACCGATCTCTTTTGATACGTCTTTTCATACTATCGGTCCTTCAAAGGTACATCATTTGCCTGGTTAGCTGTCCCGCGGTGATGAGCGGGGAACCGTCCTCCAGCCTTACGCGCATGTCGCGCTGTCATACAACTTCAGAATCTTATCATGACTCAATCGCGAGATCATGAGTGCCGAATTACTATGCCTCAGTTTGGGCTGTGGAGAATTTCCATGCCACTCATTACCGCATTGTTGCGACGCGATATCGCATCTATCGCAACCTGAACCACTACTGAACTCGACACTAGGATTTGCAACCTACATCAAAGTGGAGAAATAAAAGATATGCTCCCTAACTTTAACGCAGACTCTAGGGTCGTTAGTTTTCAATTTGAACAAGGTCTAATTGCACGTCAGAAGAAGGATGGATCTTCGACAGGTCGTACTCAACCCAGTTTGGTTGCAAGCGCTGGTGGCGGCGTGCCTACTAAACACGAGTTCTTCTGTTCGTCCAATTCATACTGCGCAACGACATCGAGCGCCTACTACCACGTCAAAGCCTCAAATTCGACACTCTTCTCGGGAAACGATGCCTGAGGCAACATTCAATACACCGGACCGTGCCGCTGGGGCTATGTGACCAGGGTGTACAGCACATGAGGATGGATGCACATGTGCTGCCTATGCGAATGATTGGATGAGCGGTTCGTTGGCGCCTGCATTGTTATGCGTTCGAAGAGTATTCGACGAGACGAATGCTGTGTAACGTGCCTCGTGCTGCGCCTCTAGACACTTACCTGTGAACCCAGTCCTTGCCAGCCTTATTTATTTCTGCTCTCTCCCAGACTTTCTGCTGCAAGAGTCTCATCATTGAGACCATTTCGCGTCTGCAACGTTTCGAGATCACAGAATGGCGGATCTGCAAGCGCAGTTGGAGTGTTTGCAAGGCGTGTGGGACACTTGCCAGACGAACGACGATCAGAAGCATGTCTTGATCAAGGCAAGTAAGACATTCCTCAGCGATCCTTCAGTCACTTACTCCAAACCCAGAACTTGTTTGCATTGGTGGCCGATCTCTCTGCTCGGTGGTCAGAGGCCGAGTACGAACTTCGTGATCGGAAAGACGTGATCAAGTTGACACGCGATCGTATCGAAGACGCCGAGAAGCAAATTCAGGTTTTGCGAGCCGAGAAGGCTCGTCATGCCTTCGCATCCGTTTTGATCGATGGTGACTGTGTGCTGGTAAGTCTTCTACCTCCAACCATCCGTCAGCTCTAACCTGGTTTCAGTTCAATGATGACCTTGTGGAAGCCGGACTAGAAGGTGGAAAGAGAGCCGCCGGCTTACTCAAACAAGCTGTTGAGGAAGAACTTCGATCATCTCCACCTGCGTTGGCCCACCATATCCAGGTGGTCATTCGTGTTTACGCGAACATGAAGGGCCTGGCGAAGACATACAAAGACGCTGAAATTCTCCCACAGTTAGCGTCACTTGACGAGTTTGTACGTGGTTTCAATATGGGCGATCCCATGTGTGATTATATTGATGCTGGTAACGGCAAAGAGTGTTCGGATGAGAAGATCAAAGGTACGCAATACATCGCCCAGTCTTCACACGCAAACACTCATCTCTCAAAAGCAATGTTTCGGCACGATCTAGCGGACATGCACTGTCAGCAAATCCTCTTCGGCGGCTCAGCCGATAATGGCTATGCCCGGTTGTTAGGCCCATACAACGAAGACGACGCAGTACGAAGCCGTATCACCCTCTTGGAAGGCCCGCCATTCGCCCGCGAGTTAGCTGCGATCAAGGACAGATACCACACTGCATCATTCGACAAGGTGTTCCGGAGCCAAATGCTGGTGATCACCCCTAGGCGCGCAACGGTGTCTCTCCCGACTCCGCCACGAACACCATCGGCAGACTACGCAATGGCCGCTGCTCAGGTTCCAACAGGACCTTCTTCATCTTCGTCGTCTAGAGCGCATAACCCCGCTGTCACCAAGCAGCCTACTACAGCTGCTACAGTACTCCTTAACAAATCTGGCGAACGTGTGGACTCACCGCTGAGCTACACGTCCAAAGACTTCATGGCGATGAAAGGTCGCAGGCTCTGCAACCAGTTCTATTTGCTTGGGAAGTGTTCTTATCTGGAGAAATTTGGAAACTGTCAGCATCAACATAGTGCTAAATTGAGTAATAAGCAGTTGGTGGCTTTGCGAGCTGTTGCTCGCTTGACGTTGTGTCAGGATGGAAGGGCTTGTAGAGAATCGGAATGCCTTTGTGGTCATCAGTGAACGATGAAGGTTGGGTTGCTGGGTTTGGACGGAAACTCACATGCGATTGCCTGCTGTAGCGGTGATGTATTAAGTTCACTGCTTCTTCAATAATTGTTCAAGCAGTCCCCGATTAAAGATGAGCACAGCCGACAAGGAACGAAGGCAAAGTTGAATGCCCAAAGTATGCTTCGGAGATTGTGAGATAGGCAGTTTCATTTCAAGTCTCTGAGGCTAAAGATAGGCAGAACGAAGAGCAGGGGAGGGAAGACTCGGTCATACTTAGGTAGCTTAATGCGACTAGTTTGGATCGTGCTTGCGCTGAATTAGCTTACGCACAACTACATGTCGATTGATTGAGCCTAGGGTTTGAAGTCTGGCATTACAAGCTTTATGGTCTTATTGCATGTAGCAAATATGACTAAATTATGTAGTACGTTGATCTTTCGCAGGTCTCAAAAAGCCCTGTGCTCTTACGCTCTATACGATAACGGTCCATAAGATCAAAATGAATTTGCCCCAGACCTACACGCTCAAAACAACGCTTCCTGCCATAAGCCTCGTGTCTCTGGATCAAAGCAAGACATACAACTACAGAGTCACGAAGACACACAGGCGAAAAATAGAACATCTCAGGCTCTTCATCGTCGCGGTCGAAGTATACCCACCCTCTAGCGACACTTGACACCTCTTCCTTTACCGCAAATGCTCCTCTTCGTAGACTCTCTCTAGGATCACCTTTGTAAAAGGTTCTCAGCATGCCCGAAACCTTCAGAGGATGGCTTCGCCAGGGAACGTAGACTGGGTGCTCGATTGCCTCGAGATGGAGGTCACAATGCTTCAGACCGTAGTCTTGCCAGGCTTCCCGGGTACCCTCGAAGAGGATCACGCGAAACGGGTGCTCTATCGGTCCCTCTAGAGATGCCCACGACCACGATGAGCATAGCCTAAATCGCCCATCGTCATCAACTACCAGCAGCGCTCTTTGTTCTTTAGGGCGCCACATTAGTCCTCCAACGAACTTCCATGATCCGTCGTCCCAATGGCCGTCGATGCAACGAAGCCCTGTCTGTTTCTCAACATGTCGGATGATTCCCAGCAAAGCTACCAATCGATCGCTCTTTTTGGTGAATTGTCTGGTGCAGTAATAGTGAATCAGGTTTCTCCATTCATGGTAGAATGAGACACCATCATACGTATGACTGATTGCGTTTTTGCGTTCGGTGAGTGTCGTTCCAACGTGAGGAACGGTTTTCACTGAGTGCCAGAAGCTCGATGATGCCAGTGTGGGGTGTAATTGTATCTCATATTCTTCTCCTGCGAAGCGCCGCTTGCAATCCCAGTATACCTGTGTGGCAGTGTAGTGGAGAATCCGCCGCGAAAGTATCTTTTCTTGAAACACCCAACCACGCTTGTTCAGTGGTGCATCAGTGACATCGGTTTCAGCAGTCCACTCGGCATCGGTGAACCACATATATCCTTTGGCTTCATCAGAGCCATCGCAAGGGAATTTAATCCAGTTACTTTGAGCGCGGATGCTGTCTAATCCACCGGTTCCATCCGTCGCCGAAGTTGCAGCTATGGTGACGTAGGCATTCATGTAAACGCTACCCATGCGCTCGGACTCTCGAATCCAGTCATCATCATCGTCTTGTACAATGCACAATGAGTCGATCCATATGTATTCAATACCCAGGCGTCTCGCTACACGGATCGCATCCTGAAAGGTCTTCGGCAGGTCGTCGAGGAAGATTTCTTCTCTAAATTGTTCGATGTTCGCATTCAACGTTCTAATTGGTGAGTTAGTACCCCAGCAATGGCTCAACGCAATGTAGCGATCGCTCTGCTGTGAATGGGAAATGTACAAATGTGGCTGTCGAGTTGCAGACCCAACATGGACGACTCTGGCAGGCAAATATCGCATCTCTGCTTCTAGGGACTGCCATGGGTGGGTCCAGCAAGCCGTGTGCGTTTCATCGCATTCACTGATCCAATGGATGATCTTTTCGAATGTGCTGTTGGAAAGGTTAGATGATGGTGCGCGTCTGCCCTGCACAAATCTTGAAGCGTATGAATCTACCAGTGTCAGACATAGAAGCGAAGATGTAGAGGCGAAGGCCATGAGTTGCGTACCTGGTTCTGCATGTATGCGGAAAAGTCCATCTCCATGGCTCCCACTGCGCCAATCCATATGCCAACCAAACACATAAATTTCGCGGGTTCGTCTCCCAATATAATAATGATCGATACCCAACCCAATATCAAAATATCCGGTTGTCGCATTCTCACGTCGGGAATGGATGCATTCAACGATCATTTTGCACATAGTACAATTTGTGGGCAGATCTTGAACATAGTCAAGCCAGCACCTTCCGCCAAAGCGGGCTGAGGAGGCCAAGATATCATCGAGCGTGATTTTTTGGCACGAGGTGCAAGTTCCAGGTGGAAAAAGCTTTGGATCTATAGTCCTTACTTCTCCCGTGCCCGAACTGACTTGGTACGGTGACGTGTGGATCTTGGGGGCTGGAGCGCCGCGGAGACGAAGTACGAGTTTTGACATTACGTGTCGGTGTCTGCGTGTGTCTTAGAAATCGGATGATCAAGCTTGAAACATGTTGAGAAGTACAGCCTTAGGGCAGTAAAGGATTTTTGTTTGACATATCGTTAAGACAAGGCAGCTGAATCGATCAGCCGAGTGGCTGAAGCAACCTTCAGCCCACTCGTCATCTTTACCCCACCATGGCCACCCGCCATCGAATCAGCTTCACTGAATTCTTCACCGGAAATGATCGTATGCCTCCTGCATACTCTGACAGCCCAAATATACGCCGCGATCCAGGGTCGAATCGTGCTTGATGTGCTTCGAAGGAGCCGCAAACAAATCTCGTCATCGTTCTACGGCGTACCTACTTGGAGAATAGCAACTGATACAAACGAAAGGATCGTGCACGCCAAGATCATCATATCCCAGTTCTTCAGCGTCGTCGCCATAAGAAGCGCGCACAAAAGACCAACCGTCAGTCCAATCGTCTGGATGCAGAACCAAACGTCGACTCACCATATGAAACTGGACATGAGCACAAATACTAAAGTTACGAGATACCACCACGTACCTAGGTATCCTCCGCCAGCCATCGCCGAAATGATGTATCGGGCAGTCGCATCTCCATGACGAGTGAAGAGTCATATGAATGCGTCCTCCATGTACTTCAGTGATGCGCTTTGGTGCCTGCTCTTCGGAGACAGCCTTGTGGTCGATAACGTCCACACCAAGCTCTCTCGACATTGCCGCCACGAGCTCAAGCACAGCTATGTGTGTGCTAGCGACAGTGTCTCTGCCCCGCTTGAGCTTGGTGGTTGGGCGCGCCACGATACTGCGACAATTCCAATCGTCCAGACTAGGAGCTTGATGTCCATGCAGAAGAGCTGTATCGAGGAGAAGCCCCATTGGTAAACCCTCTGGCGATGAGTTAGCGAAAGGTAATAATAGTAGTCTGAAGCGGAGGTCATACCCCAATCCACTGGCAAACTGCACTCCTACTCAATCGTTCGTACTCGCACGTCTCATTCGCCGTAACTAATATTTGTGGAGGTTGATACGCCCAACCAGACATGAGCACAAATACAAACTTCTTGCGGCATGAGCCCTCGTTCCAGTGATTGTAGCGCGGCCAAGAGATGCGTGGCTGTTGCGAGCTGAATGTGAGGCTGAGCTGTGTAGTGTTGGAGTGATGTCAGGCTACGCTATGTGGTAGCCACGACCCGAATCTAGCGCCGAATCTAAATGTGAGCATGGCCGCAGTACATCGTATCACCACGCCAGCCGAAGCAGTGTTTCATCGCTGGATATCAACGCACCACTCCATCTCCCATCGTCCACATACCCAGCCATCCCCACAACTCACACTTCCCTCCAGATCTTACCCGACTTCATATTCCATCAAAATCCTCAACCTTCCACATACGACCACAGGATCTTGAGACACAGCGCTTCCCGTTCGCTCAGCGGTACTTAAGCAAGATACCGGCGGATTAGTACTCGGGTGGGTGACCACCGGGGAATCCCCGCTGTTGTATGTTTTTGCCATTTGAACCATCTTTTTGACCATCTTTTTTTGCTACTCCACCCGCCTCTCAATGTAATGAGCATAGCGCACGTAGAGCGTGCGTCAAAGGCGACGTGGCTAAATCGAGAAGACGCCGTAGAGAAAAAACTTGAACTTGAACTAATACTAAGCTAAACTAAGACTACCTACTATACTACCTACATTCGCTCAAAACAAAACGCCTTTGAAATGTTCTCATACGTGCGTGCGTATCATCGCCTCTTCATTCGTCGCATAAACAACTGAAAACCGCTGCGCTCGCTAGAGAAAAAAGAAAGATAAAACACACATGTTCTATATAGATATCACCCGCCACCCCCCTATTTGCCTGCCGAAAATGCTATCACTAGTCCCATTTCCTCCTCTTATCTGGTATTTCCGGTATGTTCCACCTCTTCCTCTAAGCTGAGATCCAGACCAGACATGCCCTTGTCCCCTTATTCAACGCCCGCGGTAGCACACACACATGTGGGAAATGATGGTATCGGAAGTTGATACGTTTTTGCTTTCGACTCATACCGAGTACAGTTCGCGGAAGCGAGCTTGCTGCTCCGAAGGCAGGCCTCCGATGAAGGCGTCGAAGTTGCCGATCATGCCTTTGTATTGTTGGATGACCTGGTAACGGTGTTAGCTGAATGTACTCCGCGTTGTCAAGTATGGATGTGATCCTACCTTCTGGAACGTCTCCTGCACCTGTCGACCAGCCGTAGGTCCGCGAACAACATTCCGATCAGCCTGTGACATATCGCTGAAGAACTCCAGAAGCGATTGCTCCATGGCTCCTGGATTGGCGAGCACAATCAACATGAATCCAGTGAGTGCGTGGCACTTCTCATCTGTCCACTGCACTTTCCTGATGGCGCGGAGGAAAGGAGGGGCGATTTGAGCGAGATGGGGGGCGAGTAAGGGCGCGCT